GTCATCAGATTATGAGCTCGATCACCCGCAGGAAGCAGGTGAGGGGATGCATGGGAGGGTGATGAGACGCAAGAGTGGATCGTCTTCTCCAGGTAGTTATTCGAGAGATAAGCGAGTACAATAAACTGGGCAAGTGATGGCGTTTTCTCCTTTGAGAAGGTTGGGCTTAAGTCTGTTGCAACGAGTTTATTCAAAGTGGGCCAAAGTCATCGTGAAGCCTATTGCAAAAGTGTACTTCCATCATCTTCTTTCCAACGGATGGACAAGTTCTTAACCCTAGAGAGAAACTTCCATTTATGAAGTACAGAGCATAAAATTGAAGAAAATTTGAAAAAATCGTGTATAGCACTTCACAAAGGTTGATAGCGAAAGGGTACCGGTAATGTTCTCGTAGAGAAAGAACCCGGGGATTAACGTTTATTGAAGAGATTTGTTGGGATCGATCGAGCCGCGAATGTCGTTGAGGAACGGTAGAACCGTATACGTCACTCTAATATGGTGTTAATTGGGCATTAATATCAATCCCAATTTTATCCATTTAACTTTGGTTTTGTTGAGAAGATTTGTATGCTAGAATTTGTCGATGGTGAAAGGAGTTGCTCTTTTCATTCAACTTCTTGAACAGTGCGATGCTATTTTTGGAAAGAAAGGAAGGGTTTATAGTTTTCAGTTTGGATGATTATGTTGAAGATGAAACGAAATTAAATCCGATGGATATATTAAAAAATATAGTTGGGGGTTGTTATGATTAACACAAAGTTTGGTGTTTAAAACTCTGGTTTTGAGAAATAAGAGACAATATGTTATTTAATGGATACTTAAATGATTTATGTAATCAAAATGGGTGGTAAAATTATTTGGGAACTAAAACGTAAAAAATATTTAATTAATGAATGTAGGTATAATTTATAATTAATAATATTTTTAATTATTTACTTTTTAATTATTAATTAATTAATAAGTGTGAACACAGGTGTATAGCGTACGTTAGCCTTTCCCATATATATATATATATAGGTGGCCACTTTGGTGCACTCACTTTTTTTGGGTGCATTCAATGCATCCAACTCTAAAAGTGGTCAAAATACATAAATTTTGAACTTTAATGGGTAGTATTAGTCTAATATGATGATATAACACAGGATCAATACTAATCAATCCATTATCCTAAGCTATTACCATTCAATTTTAAATCCCAACCCACAATCTCAAATTGTAAACCCTAACTCTAACTCAAAATTTCTAAACCCTAAAACATTCAAATTAAAGTGAATCTAGAATGATTTTTGTACAAATTCGTGTGGTTCTTGTTCATCATACCACAAGTAATGATTAACATCGTTTTCACATGAATCGCCTTATCAGAATGGCGATTCAATGCACCCAAAAAAGTGAGTGCACCAAAGACATAACCATATATATATGGTGGCTACTTTGGTGCACTCACCTATTTAGGTAGTGAACTAACAAAATGCAAGTAAAACAATGTTGAATTTAATGGAGAAAGCTTCACTCAGATGATTATCCCCCCTAGTCACATGTTGATTCAATGACGTGATACTCTAGTGTGATTTGCATATGGTACAACATTAGGAGATCAAAGATAGTTAGAAGTCCCGATTCGAGTTGTCCTAACCCACCAAAATGCTCTAACCGTAGAGGTATATAAAACTACAGGATTATGCAACTAGGGAAACCAAATCCACTCCCTTGGGCAATGACTCGGAACGACGTAAAGAGACCAATCACCCTCATTTATGGACACCTTACGATGATTTAATAATGCCCTAAATTATCCTTAGGAGATCTTCTCTTTCTTAGATTAATTGGCCCCAAAATTGAGGGAATTGATCAAGAACTCTCAATTATCATGATAAATACTCAATCAATATATGAACAATCATGCCAATCAAAAAATAGAGTTCACAATTATTAGACTACAACATTCTAGACTAGAGTTGACATCATCCAAGTGTATAGAAAATATACTTCATGCCTAGAGAAAGAAATACAACTATACAGAATGAAAACCCATGAAAAGATGAATCTCCTCCATTCCGTAGTTGCTTGGGATTGTGTTAAATATGAAATATGGCCTCTTTGATCTTGGATAGCTCAAATTCCCCTTCCAACTTCCTTGGTTTGTTTATTTCTCTCTCTAAACTGAAGAAGAAAATCCAACTATCTCTCTCTCTAAAACGGTCCTCTCTTTGAAATCTTCTCACTCTTCATACTGATATATACCAGCAGTGAAATCTTCAAGCGTATGCGTAGGGGTGAGCATTGGGTGGTTGAACCCACAAACCCAACCAAAACTACCCGCAATTGACCCACCCATTATCATGTTGGTGGTTCTTATGGGTGGGTGTGGGATGTAAAATAGGTGTGACTCACAAAAGATTGGGTGGGCACGGTGGACTGTGGTTGACCCACTACGCACTCAACTTCTTAATCTCAAACCATCAAAGCTCTAACTTATAGGTTTACCGAAAATGAAACCCTTAAAAACATAAAAATTCCTCTCAATTTTGATTAAAGGATAGTTTTGTGAGGTGTGGTTAGGAAATTGGAGGTACGCTTAAGTATAACTAGTAGCATATAGTAGAAACAAAGACAATTTTCTTCCCTAAAACGACACCATCTCAAACTACCACCAATTCGTCCTTCCTACCATCAATTTGGAATTGTAATTTGCGACTATAGATTAAAAAGCTATTTACACTTACAATGCCTAGGCTAATGATGCACTAAGCAAGATCAAAACATTTGCCTTATGCCTAGTGCCTTCTTGAACCTTGGTTATTATCAGACTCAGGCTATGTTCATCAGTTGAATATTTTGTAAATTGTGCACAATTACCAATGCCAATGTTGTAAAATAAATGATTCACCTCATTTATGGATTAAACATTATATTTAGTTTGAATTTTTTTCATTTAAGTTTAAAACTATTGAAATTATGTGATCATATACAATATATGTTGTAAATCCACCGAATCCACCCAACCACCCATTATCTAGAATCACACAACCCAACCCACTCACATGTAATGTATGGGTGGGTGTGGGTCATTTTCTCTTTCACCCACCACGGAGTGGGTGGTTCCAAACCCACCCAAATCCGCATAAAACCACTCACTGCTCATCCCTATGCACGTGTCACGACCGTGATTTGTGTAGTAAAACCGTAACGTCAACACAAAATGCATCGTCTCACTTGCACACTTCACTGTTTCCTTGCAATTTTCAAGACCACTCACTTGCACACTTCACTGTTTCCTTGCAATTTTCACGCCCTGTGGTCGTGATTTGTGCAATGCCCACAAGACGTCCAAATACTCCTGGATATTTGCACGCTTCACGGTTTAGGGGTAATCTTTACGCCCTCTTGCCCGTAAACATATGATGTGAACCGTGATTCATGCAATTTTCAGCACTTTAATTTGTCCCATTTTTGCTCCCTTCCGTCCGACTGTCGATCCTTTAGCACATTTCATCTGCCAGAGCCTGCAACATACTAAAAGATACCAAACATAGCGTAAAATGGCTCCAAGAACGATGCTATACAAGTCAAACGACAAATACAAAGTGGTAAAAACATGTACAAAATGGCTCAAATCAATGATATAATAGACAATGTTTAAAACTATTATTTGATAAATTGATAATGTCACTTCTCATAACCTGAACTATTTATTTATAATTCAAGTTACTAAATTCACGGTCCGTTGGATAGCGCGGGCTTTCGTGTGGAAATATATGTTGGACTTTGGATGAATGAAACGAGTATGTGGAAGTGAATGCATACATACTCCTTCTTGTTTTCTTTTTTACCCTTTGACTATAGATGACAAAAATAACTACATATGTCGATACCGACCTATTGATCCTTTATAATGCATGAATGGGTAGCTAATCATCCCATACACGTATAGGACAATGAGATATCACAAGCGGGTTAAGCTCGAATCCAATCTAATCGGGTAGGGTAAAACTCAAACCTGGATATTTTTTTTTTGGTAATTTCAAACCTGAATATTGCAGGAGATGAGTGGACATAATTTTTTCACTATACTACCCGAACCCACCCGATTATAGATATGCAAATTCCTAATATGTTGAGAGTCATTTTCATAAAAAAACATACATATGTATTTTCTTATATGAAAATGACTCAACATATTTGATATTTATCATACATATATAATATTTTTATTGTTGTAATTTTCTTTGTTTTAGTAATTTATTGTTGTAATTTTTTTATGTACTATAGTATATGTTGAATTGTTAATATGTTGATTGACGATTACCATAGATATCCCAAAACCTGATTAAATATGAGTATGGTGTTGATATTCTACTCGACTATTGTATGAGTATAGATATAGGTAAAAGTTAAAACCCAAATTTTTTTGAATATAATAATTGATATGCACCCATCTGGCCGACTGAAGAAAATCAGTCGAATGCAAAGTTTGCAACGTACAGAAGAGTTATTAGGCCGAGCATATATACTGACTGAGCTGAGCTGAGCTGACATTGATGACAATCACATTAAATCTTCACTTTCCAATTTATTACCGCCTTTACACTTTAGTCTTTACAGTACAACTTCAAAGAACCAACACGGCCTACCTAGCTGGCCTAACTTCTTCCAGCACCAAAAAAAATTTTGAACTCAATTCCTTTCCCTCCCTAAGGCATTAATGGCAGCCAGCCCTTCCCCCCTGCATTGCCCACTTAAATCAATAGCCAAAAGCAGTCAGAAAATCACGTAAAAGGAGCTCTTGAATTCAGTTTCCACGTATTTTGCCTCTAGCTTGTGTGGCTTCTTTTAAACCCATTTGCCTCTCTCTCTCTCTCTATACCACCTCCTGACACTCCTGTGATCCTTTTCGCTGGTAACCATCAACTTGCCTGTGATTTGCTTCAATTCTGCCACCCATTTCTTCTCTAGCTCGTATATCTATACACATAGAAAGTCATACAAAAGACTTGCAATATATCAAAAGCTTCTTCACCCCTTCTCAAAACCCTATCATCACAAAGCTCTCAATCCTGAGTTAAAAACAGAGATGAAAGGCTACTGCACATTTTGCTTCTTACTACTACTTCTTTCCCTTTCACTTCTTCCTCTACACCTCGTCTCCGGAAGGCACATCACGAAGACGACCAGACCACGTAAGTAGTCTGCCATCTTAAACTTAATTTGTTTGTAGTTGTCGTTCCGCGCGAGTATTAATTAATGTGCTTATTAATTTGTTTGCTGAACCGGCCAGACCACGGCGGGCACCATGGTAATAAGAAAGTGGAAGAAGCAGTAATGAGTTACTACTACAGAACGGAGATGAGGAGGAGAGCTGCAGCAGGGAGAGGAAGGGGATCAATGAACGGCGGACCGGAGACGGTGGAGATAGCAGGGTCGAGGCTGCCCGACTGCTCGCACGCGTGTGGGTCGTGCTACCCGTGCCGGCTGGTGATGGTGAGCTTTGTGTGCGCTTCCTTGGAGGAAGCAGAGACATGCCCCATGGCTTATAAATGTATGTGCCGCAACAAGTCCTACCCTGTCCCATAACAAATACTACAACAACAACCTTAACTCTCTGCTCTGGTCTGGTCTCATCGCATTTTCGCACGATTACATTACATTACTTTGTTCGTGAAACCTTCGATGGATGGATATGCGCGCTCCATGTTTTCTTGTTTCTTTTCTTTCGAATCTTGTATGTACACTATAGTTAGAATATCTGTAGGCCATGTGCTTTTTTTTCTTCTTCTTCTTCTGTTGTTTTCTTGGTTCCTTTTATTTTTCAATTTTGTTCTAGCCTTGAATTAATTTGTACTCTAAAACTCCTCCACCATGCCTTGTGTATTCTTATCAAAGACTTCTTTTCTGGTTTGCTTTACTACCCCTGTCGGCCTTGTGTGCTCATTACATAATTAATCACAGTTCATGAATGAAAAGTTGCTTGAAGAGGTAAGGTAATATTACGGGATTTGATGTTTTTGGACCTAAATGTGTAATTGTGTAAACTAGTGGATCTTTGTGTAAGTTCATTCAAGCTTACTTGAAGGGTATAAGAGCCCCTCATCACTGGCGGATCAAGGAATTTTTTATAGTGATATCCTCTTTAAAAAAATAAATAATTCATAAATAAGAAAATACATGACTATTACAAATTTTAACAAAAGACCATGACGTGTTTTCATATTCCTACAAATATTATAAAATATACTTGTCGTCTTCACTGCTCAACAACTCTATATATCATACTAGACAATAATTTCCGAACTGATCGCAAATTCGATTTCTAACCTTGTTCTTTATGTAACTCAAAGTTGAAAGACACTTTTAACTCTTGCCGTGTAACTATAAAATCAATTCAAATTAAGGATAGCCCTTAATTAGTTTAGTTGTTAGGTTTTGAAAATAGTTAGGGATAAGGAATAATGTTTTTACTATTTTATAGTGTTTAAATAGAAAAAGAAATGAGTTGCAACCTAGAGAATATGTTTAATAATAGTAGTGTCCTATGTTTGAATAACACAAACTACAATTTATACAATTTTAATCTTACACAAACTACAATCGAGAGTAGGATAATCATTTTTTTTTCAATTTTTAAGGGTGTCCCAGATTAACAATTATAATTTTGTTTCCATACGAAACTACAACCAGGGGTTGGATTATCGTTCTTCCAAATTTTAGAAGTGTCCTGGGACACTCCTAAATGTCCATGTATTCGCCACTGCCCTGACTATGAAACTTCTTGAAGACTCTCCCGCCCCCATGCAAGTCCATTCGTCCTTGGACATATTCCATTACTTTGAACAGCCTGAAATTATACTAGAGTGATATATTTGGTTCTCAACATTGTTTTCCATAAATTTGTATGCCATAATACATTATGATAAACTCCCTCTTTTTATGTAACTAGTCTAATTTGGATTAGATCATTAGCGATCACGAATTAAAGAATTTGAGTATTAATAATGTATTAATAAACACTAGCAAGTCCGTATAACGTTGGATAATGTCGTTGCAGCCTACATTTAATAAACACTAGTTGCGCTTCGCGTAAAGCAAGTAATGTGAAATGTTATATGTGATTGTAATAGATACTAAGCTAACCTGTAAAGAACACAAATCCAAAAAATGTAGGCCTAGCTCTCATTTGATGAATAGGAACATTTAAGAAGCTAAATAAAATTCGAGTAACCACATTTTGCAATAAGGTGAAGCAAACAATAAAAAATGGACTCGTTAACCAATGGATAGGTATACCAATTGGGGAACAACAAACACATTTTGAAAATCATTAATATGCTTATCTTGTTCTTCAATGAGTACTACTATAGCGACTCTGTTGTTCCACCTTGTGGGTATTTTCGGATCTAGCAAATCACTAAAGAGCTTTATAATGGGTCCAAATCAAATATGAACAAAGAAGCTCGTTTTGTTGGTTCGCATTCCACTTTGCTCTCCATGGAGAAAAGGAAATTTTCAGTTGTTTTCATATTCGAGTTCAAGCAAAAAGAAATAAATAAGGGAGTAAAAACCAAATAAGAACAAAGAAATTCGTTTCGTGCTAGTTATGCCCACTTGCCTGTGCTTCACGGGGAGTGGTATATAACTTTTCGTTGTCTTTTTCTTTGATTTTAGAGAAAGAAAAGTAGAACTGTGTTGATGGACACTAGTTTATTTGATTTTATCTTGAGTGAGAAGATTATTGCATCAAATGAAAGAAGAGAGGTGAGAAAGGGGGGAAATGTATTTGATGGGTGTTAATTTATTTGGTTTCTTCTTGTGTGAGAGGATTATTGCATCAAATGGAAGAAGAGTGGAGAGAAATGGGAGCAAAAAGGAAAAATTGTAGAAAATTTGGTGGGACCCAACCCAATGGATCGTTGACCCCAAAGTTGTGTGTAATTACCAAAATACCAGTTAATGAATAGTAAAAAGCAAAATTGTGTTTTTAATGTAAGAATTTTTTTCAAAATTTGAGATAAACGAAAGTGGTACATATATAGTGGTAATAAATGGTAATAGGTAAGAGTGTACAATAAGTGGATTGAGTGGATTTCGGTTTCAAATTAAGCTAGCCGCTTATTAGCTAGTTTATACAATTGTGATATGCTATCCACCCACATTAATTTATCTTCGAATTGGGTTGGGTGGTCGGTAGGTAGATGTATTCAGGTTTTGGGCTAACTCACAAAGTGATTTTTCGACTAACCATTGGATAAGTTGACTAATATCTATAATAAATTCCTCCCAACCTTGGAAACACTGGTAATTTATATACTTTCCATTCCGTTCCTAGAGACTAATGCATTTTACGTGTGTGGATTTTACTTCTTTGAGAAAGGTATCGAATCTTTCAGTATGCATCAACCAATCTTGCAAAGAAAATTGACACTTTTTTACTTTCATATAATTAACCATTTATAATTTTGATCACAATATCAAATGGACATTTAACAACATCATAACCAATAGTAGTCGTTCAAATACATAATATTTATTTGTTGTCCTTAGAATTTGATAGTCATTGTGTGATGCAGTAGGGAAATAAGATGACCATTTGATAGTATAAACAAGAAACAACTCTTTGTCATGTAAAAGTGATGCATGTCATTCAGGTAACCAGCAACACACCTATCACCCACTCGAATAAGTGCGGTTAGATATTTTTTTTATATAAGCTCCACTCACTATCATAATGAAAGTGAGATGCATGTAAAAACACGAGGTTGTTGTACGTACACTTACCATTTTGATAAGATTATGATATACATTTATAATATTACAACAAGCGCCTGCTTTTGAGGAATAATTTTTTTCCTCAAAATGTAGCAAAATATATATTATGTTGTAGATAATAATTAATAAGTTTTTTATGTATAAATTTTAAAATTATTCCATGATATTTTTAATTTCTTGTTAACATGGAAAAATATCATCATATGGATATATTATCACTAGATAATTAGCCCGTGTTTCGTGGCTGTTTACCAAAAAATGTATTTTAATTAGAAGTGAAGAACACTATTCATTTACCTTTGAGATGAGAATATAATATTCGATTGAATAATTATTTTCAAACTTCTGGAAACCCATTCCAAAATCTATAATATTGAAATCAGTAAATCACACATTGATGGTCATTCAATCCCTACTAAACCGAAGCTAATGATACTTAAAATACAATTAAGTGCCTAGTTACTGTACGTGTCTAAGCTTCTATATGTAATGATCGTTGAACTGACAATGAAGATACATACCATAATTGTCTTGGCCAGAACAAATAATACTAATAAAGTAGAACATAAAGTTCTAGCGTGAGGTCGTGTGAATAGTTTGGCTAGGCTAATTTAGCTACTTTAATTCATTAGTAATGAACGTTACTTGCACAATGGTTTGTTAGGGGTTGTCAAAGTTGCTAGCATAGTAAATCTCATTAAGGAATGATAATACTTAATAATTTCATGTAACGATGTCCATGTGTATATTAGTTTTATCCCTAGCTAATGAGATTTATTTAAGTTTATTAGTAATTAACCATTACTTGGAAAGTCAGTGACCACCCCAAGAATTGAAATATCTGAAATACTGTCCATGTGTATATTAGTTTTGGACTTTGCTACTGTGACATGCATGTCACGGTGACATGCACTTTTTGGTCGACCTAATATAGGTTTAGGTCGACCTAATCGGTTGTTTCAGTGTAAAAACAGTTTCATGGTGCGTACTTTGGAGATTCATATCTTACAATTGGCTCGATGGAAATTGGAGACTAATGGCTTGTTTTGAAGCTGGAGTGTTCCTCTACACATTAAAGTACTTAGGATCTCAATAAGAAGTCTAGAACATCATTTTTGAACCTGATCAAAAGGCTATGCCAAAACTTGGAAACTTCCTGAAATTGGCCAAGTCTGGGAACGTGTTTGTGAAGCCTACTTTGGAACTCAATTCGAGAAGCATGGATGTGAATCGAGTCCATGGGCCTCTACCACGTGAAATTAGGTATGTTTTTATACATAGTCAAGGCATTGGGTGAAAGATTGGATATGTGTAAGGCTTCAAACATAAGGGTTGAAGTTGCTACGAAGGCTATTTTTCTGGCAGCTTGCTTGTGCTCAAAGTCTGCCAGAAAAACAGTCTTCGTAGCAACTTCGACCCTTTTGTTTGAAGCCTTACAGATATCCAATCTTTGATCCAATGACTTGACTTTGTATAAAAACATACATAATTTAACGTGGTAGAGGCCCCTGGACTCGATTCACATCCATGCTTCTCGAATTGAGTTCCAAAGTAGACTTCCCAAACACGTTCCCAGACTTAAGCCATTTTCAGGCAGTTTCCAAGTTTTGGCATAACCTTTTGATCACGTTCAAAAATGGTGTTCTGGACTTCTTATTGAGCTCCCAAGTACTTTAATGTGCAGAAAGGACACTCCAGCTTCAAAACAAGCCATTAATCTCCAATTTTCATCGAGCCAATTGTAAGATATGAATCTCCAAAGTAGGTACCATGAAACTGATTTTATACTGAAACAACCGATTAGGTCGACCTAATCCTATATTAGGTCGACCTTATCCAAAATGAGGTCGACCTAATCCTAACTAAGGTCGACCGAAAAGTGCAAGTCACCGTGACATGCATGTCACCGTAGACGCACCCATTAGTTTTATACCTAGCTAATGAGATTTATTTAAATTTATTAGTAATTAACCATTACTTGGAAAGTCAGTGACTACCCCAAGAATTGCAGTATCTGAAATACTATTCATAGCTAGGGGTGGAAGTTCGGTATCAAAATTTGGGATACATCAAATACCACACTAAACTTATCATTTTTTGTTATTATCAATTACCGAGTTAATTTTTTGGGTTTGTGATTAAGATTGATTTTTAATAGTATTCAATATTCGAGATATATGATTGGAATTGATACATAACAAGATATCAAGAGATACCAAAAATTTAAATATGATACAATGAATCTCCCTCTCAAATAATTAAATAATTAAAGCCACGGTTGCTCCTTAAACCAAAATTTAAAATTAAGTATGTGATTGTAAGAAATTACTGATTCTTATTGACTTGTGTTTATGCTCATGATGAAATATTTTAGAAGAACAAATTGCTTAGTTGTATTGATGAATAATTATAGTAAAACTAAATCAATTTATAGAATTATGGGTGACTTAATAATATTGAAGTATATGTATGATTGTAATAAATGGCTAATTCTTTATTGTCTTGTGTTTATGCTCATGAGTTGTGATGAAATATTTTGGAAGAATGGAATGCTTAGTTGTGTTGATGGATGATTATAGTGAAACTAAATTGCGATTTAGAGAAGTATGAGTAACTTAATAATATTTAAGTATAATGGTCAATTGTACATAATAATCCACTATTTATATAAGTCATGAAAATTTTTGTGTTTAATTCAAACCACCTTAATTTAGTATTCATCATATACTGATACTATATCGAAACATTTCATATTGAGATTGATTTTGGTCGTAATTTAGTGTTTGAAATACCAATAAAGCGATTTCACTTAGTCTTGACAAAGTCCATACACGAATTAATGAGCAGTGACTTGTAAAACCTGCTATTTAATTAATAATAATGAATCTTGAACTTGAATATTCGGTGAACAACCATAGAACATATGTACACTAATATATAACCTCGTATGAATTGAGAAAGGGGAAGGTTGTCTAATCTATAGCAAAAAAAAAAAACATGGAAGAAGAAAATAATCCTTTAACACACAAATTCTAGCGAAAATGCAAACTTGCCTAATCTGAAAAATTGCGAATTAAGGAATTTTTTTTTGTTTTTAAGATAAATCTCAACAAGTTTTATGATGCATCTTCTTGCACCCCACAAGACTTGTGAAATAAATTTGCACTATTTGTTCTTTTACATATGAAATGTAAGTACACTTTATCCCCATTCTTTTACATATGAAATGTAGGTACACTTTATCCCCAAACTTGCTTATTACTGTTTCATTATTTGTCGTCTTCTGAATGGGGCTGAGTAGAGCTTCCCCAACTTCGTCAATTTTGCCTGCCCTCGACCGAGACGGTACTCCCCCTTTCAAAAGACCATGCTTCCGTACCTGCTCACCTGTCCCACGTCGTCTCCTGTAATCTCATCACTCTGGGCCAGGTGCTTCGCCGAGTTGACGGTTCCTTGTGGTTGCTCCCACACGCCACCACTGCGGCCATACTTTCTGCATTCTCTGTCTTCTCAAGACTGATCCAAAATTTGCAATCCCTTCCCCTCATCTCTGCGGTTGCTTCTCGATACTGCGACCTCTACACACCTACTCCAACACGCCAGCTCCCATGAATTTTCTGCTATCGCACATACTTTTCGAGGGAATACTTCTCCTCTCCCTCAATCTTTCTTTCTTCATCTCCGCCTAGGATTCAATTCTGTCTCTCTGATCTTGGCGGCGCTCGAGAGGAAGTGAGAGCTACGTCAAAGGGAATAAACCATCAGGAAGTCAGACGCCAGAGAAGGGAAAATTAGGCCAGAGGGAGGAGAAGCTATATTGAACCTCTCCCAGTCGAGCACAGTTTCCTATCTAAAAACTCTTTATTCCTACCTCCATTGATCATTCCCAAACCTTCATGTACGCTTACAGAGGTTAGTGTGGATTGAATCGGTTTCAGAGGCCAGGAACTATTTCTTAATCCTGTCTGAGATTTTTGGCTTGGTTTTGGCATTCAGCTTCTTCTGGTACTCATTTTTGCAGGCCAACACTGCAGAAACCACTTGCAATTTCTTGACATACAGTGGAAGTTCCCAAGGTTAGCGTAGCCAACTCTTCTTCACCTATCTAATGTCTATTACCACAAAGTTAGCTTTGATACTAAACACCACTCTATCACTAGGAATAGGTACTGATGTTCTTCCATTTTTGTTGAATCTGATTCACCCCCCCCCCCCCCCCACATTTTTTTTTGCAGGTTTTCATACTATGGGAGTTTAGGTGATATTCTTCCTCATATTTAGAAGTGATCTTTAAACTCAGCCTGTGGTCTGAATAACAAGATAATCTAGCCCGAATGAAATGGTCGATTATCATTGCCAGCAGGGATAGCGACTTGGTGAGGGTACGAGCTGAATGAACTGAAATCAGAAGGTACTGTTTTCTACTGCGATTGTTGGGTCTTTCATTTTATCCAATGGTTACTAACTATAGAGAGCAATGGTTGAGACAAATATTTACTCATGTCCGTTGAGCAATGAAAGTGCACCAACTAAACTGCCAAATGCTGGACGGTAGATGCAGTGGAGAATTAAAAAGAGATTTACTGAACAAATTTTCAAACTAGCAGAGCAGCGAAAATAGTTGGAAGGTAGGAAGCATTCGGTCAGATGAACTAGGTAATAAGTCTAAGCACTTTCAAATAGCTTATGAAATTAAGCTTATGGCAAAACTTAATTTTTTCTTTCAATTGATGCGAACAGTGAATAGCTTACATTTTAGCGCTTTAAGTTGTAAATTTATATACACATTGGAAGTGCTTTGAGATGAATTGAACCGATAGCTCTAAATGGTTAAGATATGTGCTTGTGGGGGGTTTCCATTTGCAACTTTCATTCTGCCATCGAGTCAAAATGGTGTTTTAACTCTTTAATGCAAGTTTAAGTTTTTTACTTAATTTCAAGTGACTTGAAGTTGTGCTTAGGTGGGACTCCCACTGGGAACTGTCATTGGTTGGGATCCAAGTTTGGGATTAAGGGGATATGGTCGGGGATGGTGGCTACTAATGGATTTGGTTTAAAGTTCAAAGCTTTCGGTTGATAAAATTGCTCTAATGAAATTAAAAAGGCCAGCGATTTGGTTATGAGTATTTGATTTTTATCAACTCAATCCTTAGGAGTAATTGGGTTTCCCTCAATGTAAACCTGCTCATTTTTTAAAGTCACGAACTGCCACTGCTATGCCTCTAGGAGTGTCAAATGACACTGCAGCTGAAATTACTTGACAATTCATAGTTCTATGATTGCAGGCTCTTACTAGCTTGCAATGGTTGAAATTTGTTGCCAGCGGCTGCTGCCGAAAAAACGAACTCTGTGTCTAGTCATGGCTCCTCTAGCTGGGGAAAGAAGGATGCTTGGAGTTTTGGGTTTGGTGCTGCTGCTACTGGGAATGCTACAACTGGTAGTGGAGACTCGCCAAGATCGCTCAATGAGCACTTGCAAACCTTCCTTAGCCACCCTTTGTTCCTCAAAGTTATGCTTATCTCTTGTAGGTTACAGAAAAATCTGCTTTATTTGCATGCTTGGATCATGTTCCTTTGAAGTAGGGCAAAAATGACTCTAATACCATTTTCCCAGGAATGTTTCAGCCCATGGGAGATGTCCATGATGCTGAGGAATACTACCACAGGGCAACACAAGTGGAGCCCGGAGATGGTGAGTTACTGATGCAGTATGCAAAGTTTGTGTTGCACCTCTATCGTGTGAACCTACGGCTGATATTTCTCAACGGCTCATGCATATTGCATTAATGTTATCGGCGCATCTGCTAGCTCTATCTGGAAATAGATAAGGGAAAGGGAAATGAAGAGAATTGGACGGCAAATAGTAATAAATCAATGTTTCTGTTGTGTTTGTTGCGTTGTTTCTTTGGTGGTTGATGCCAGTTCATCCAAGTTAGGTGTGTTGGTGTCTTAATTTTTTAAATTGTGGCAACTGTTCTCTTCTCGGCGATTTAAATTCATGGAGTGACTATAGAGAAACCGTTGTTTTCCAGGAATATTAATTAGTACTTGGAATCTCTGGTGGTTCAGTGGAGTTTGTGATACTGCCTTGTTGCTTCAACTCTTCGTTTGCCTTTTTTCAAGCCTCTTGCGTTGCTTCTTCGTAGAGGTTGTTTGGAACAATTGATCAAAGATAAAAACAAATTCCCTTTTTCTTAGTTTCCTCATTCCTCATAGGCGTGGTTCCGGTTTGAGCTATATGTTTGTGAAATAGAATTCCTCCATTGGATTTTTAGGTTTTTGCTCTCTTAATTGTTTACAAATAGTGTCTGCTTACAAAATATCATATTGTTGGAAATTTTATGGAGTTCTAAGAGATAAGTTAGGTCCTTTGACTAATTTGTCGTTCATATCGGTTTAATCATTATTTAAATTCATAACCTCTTTTTCACTTTATTTGAAGATATTGGTGATCTATTTCATTAATTCACATAACAAATCCTCTTGGGGTCAAGTTGATTGAATTCTCTTCTTTTATGATATTACATGGTCTCTATTTTATTTTAAGTTCCTTCTCTCTTTGCGCACCTATCATCGATCTTAGAACATGTCTATTTCAATTTCTCACATCTCAACTGCCATCTTACTTAACCAATGATATTGGTTTATGAGAACACATATAGTGTATTATAGACTAAGTATAAATGGATTCTAAAGGAAGATTTTGATGCAAGTTTAGTTCCGGCGGTGTAACCGTGGGTATTGATTCTAGTATAATATGAAAATGAATTCCATCTCCCAAAATATAGCAAAAACCGTACTCTAGAAGCTTACGAATCCCAGGTAATGAGATTGAAAGAAAAATAACCATATCATCAAACAACCAATCTACAAACATGCCTGACTGATCTAGAACCATGGCCGCCTGAAAACTGAAAACGAAGTACATTGTCATTCCCAAACACTCAAAACGTACTTCTCACACCAAAACGTTTACAAATGTAGACAATACAGACAGACCATCCAACTTTATTTAGAAATTCAGCTAGTAGGTTTCATCAGAAACAAGAAAAGGTTATCATCATAAACGTTGATAACGTGCAAAAGAACCAAGTAACTCGTGGTCTTGGGTTTATGTAGTGAGGATAGGGGGGAGGTAATCCGATTTAGCACCGAGAACACGAGCCTTGGTGTCCGGGAAGAACTCAGCACCAGGATACTCCGTCACGTTGCCTTCACTGTCGACGGTGATCGGGTATCGTAGCAGATGGCCCGGGAGATCGTGCTCGAGCGACTCGTTCGAGTACAGATCCCAATACTTATCAGCAGCTTGGTTCACTTTGTTGATGCATTCCTCGCTATCTGGGTACAGGAAGCAGTCGTCAAGCATGCCAAGGTGCTCGTACCACAGCGACATACGGAAGCCGTGGACCTGGCCTCGTGCTGGCTCTCTCACCGCCAAGTGATACGGCTGGTATGCACCCATGGCGATCTCAGAGTCCCTCGAGCCGTCCATCGACCGCTGGTTGATGTTGGCTGAACCAACTATTATGTACTCATCATCGACTGCAAAAAACACATGGGTAGAAGGAAGAGTTAGGGCAACAGAAGCAACAACCATTACTAAAAGTGACAACTTTAGGTTTTAGGAACAAAAATGAAACAAAAAAAGTATTTTACAAAAAGTAGAGTCAGATGGAATGAGTATTTTTTTCGTAATGATAGTAGTTGATAAGATAGATTATCTGTTTAATAATTAAAGACATATGTGGACATTGAAAAATGACTTTTTAAAGTATAATTCTGGAAACGAATTCTTCTTTCTAAAAGAGAAAAGTTGAAAACAAAACCATTTTGGTGATCTGGGTTTTCGCTTTCAATGATTTATTGATTTTTGCAGTGAATAGTATTTCTAAAAAAGTTTGATCAAAGACGTGTGAATAAGATTAGCTCTCTCTTCAACTCAAAATACACCCCTACAAAAAGAAGGGAAAACATGATTCCAAAAGTCTAGAATTCACCCTCAGTTTCAAGTTCAGCAAGCAAAAAAGTTGGCTCACTAAACACTAATCACAATCAAAAGGGAAGATTTATAAAACTTGGCAAGTATTAAGGCTTCGTATTCATTAGACTTACCGATCATCATCTTTGAGTGAACATAAATCATAAACCGCCTGGCTTCCTGAGCTCTAATGTAATCTGTATCAGGCTCTGGCGTCTCCGAAGGCTCATACTCTCCACTTCTCTTCACTTCACGGTTCCCCAGGCAGAAGAATGTCAAGTAGTTCCGAGGATCCTCCTCTCTGCCCTGAGCTCTCAGGGCCTGGACAATATCACGATACATCATTTCCATCGTCCTCTTCTGCCAATCCAAAATGGCTTGAACTGATGCACTCTCTGGAATGCCCTCTGGCCACATTGGAACAACCACGTACACAGTAAATCTCTCCCCTGCCTCAATCTTGCTGACTATCTTCAGTGACAACTCCTTGGGAATCAGATGTAGGCAGTTAATGTCCTCAACCTTAATATCATCACATGTCCAACCGTGACAACTCCCAAGGAAGTACTGGTTCTCAATATAGATAAAATTCTTTGCCCTTCGAATGGCGTTGATATATGCATCTTGAATACTTCGGTCAATGATATTATCCTTGCCACTAATAAGTCCAGCCCTTGCAGCATCCTCTGGAGTCTCTGGGAAGCCGAAACAAGCCCCTCCATCAATGGACCTAAACAGCTGCACATTCCATGTCTCACGATCATCAGGATAAGTGACTGAGGATGGAGGAATAATAACATCTTCCAGCTCCCTCAGCTGAACCAGCAAATCTTTACCACCTTGCTTTCTCCATCTCTGCTCGAAGTTGTACAGCACATCCCAAGCGATAGGCCCTTCTACACGAGAGTGAATATCATGCCAAGGTTCTCTGGGCCCACCTTTGGTTATAGCAGCACCTTCAAAGTTGGGTTGATGGAAGTCATCATGATGAGCTGTGTCCAATGTCCTGAACAAAGAGTGGAAGGGACTATCATATCTGCCATCACAAAGATCAATGCCACCAACAAAACTAACGATTCTTCGCCTTTCCGAGCTACCATTTGGCATATCATGGTCCACAACAACAATCTTCTGGTGATGAGTAAACATTGTGGAAATTTGAAGATCTTGTACAAAGCTTCCACCATCATCGGGGTTTCGGGGACACAGAACACAATGCACATCGGTATCTTGGAAGTACTGCGCGGTTTCTTCATCATGAGTGGCCATCAGGCCATCTTTTTTAAGCAGGCCAACGGATGTTCTATCATCCCAAACAAGCATAAGGACTCGAACACCTTCACTTGCCTTCTTTTTCAGCAGTTCACCGAGCATTATGTCTCCCCCTGGCTTTGGCCTCCTGGAATCCCTTATCAAGCTGATTTCAGTATAGACAGACCAGCCAGTAATGTAGATCAAGTGCTTTGCATTTGTTATAGCATCAAAAATATCTTCCCAGCACCTATGAGGCTCATAGTAATTGCCTCCTGCAAGTGGGATTTTGGGAATAAAATTGTCGGGGACATGAGCATCTTGGTACAGAGAAACTTTGCAACCTTGTCTCTGAGAGAAGAAGGTGTAAGGAACACCAGGGAACTTGGCACTTTTGATGCCTCGAGCCCAATTGTGGTCTTTTGACACATCAAAGTATTGTAGCTTCACATGGATCTTAGAACCTGCTTCAATTGGGTTTTTTTCCTCATCCAATATCTCAACCCAGCGATCTATCTCTTCACCATCAAGAATCTCAGTAACAGGTACATATGCTCTTCCAATCAATGTTGCGCCAATAGGGTTGTCGTCCTTGACAGTGAAGACAACATTGGAAGCCATATGGCCACAGTAGATATGGAAAGATTCATACCACTTTGGATTGCTTGGCTCATTTTCAAGAAGCCTGGTTCTTCCAACTCTGGCTCTCTCCAGGTCAATGGTTGCATACATTTTACTTATTCCTTTCCCAATCCCAACTTTCTCCCCAATGTTATCGACAAGCTGTAAAAGCAACATAGCTACTGATCAGCCACTTGGTGAATGGAAAAGCACTTACTACAAAAATCATCCTAGATCAATCTCTATGATCAGGAAGGCAAATTCAAATGAAAACCGTCCGAGGAAATCAACACAAGTTATAATATGAAACAGTCAAGAATTAAAGACACAATCATGCTTTGCAGAGGCAGTATGAATCTAATCAAAGTGGACAATCGACAACCAAATCTTCACAAATTGAGGGAAAGATAATTGATAGGTTAATCATTAAACTAGGTAATTCTCATCGGGACAGAGAAAGGGGAACCAAAAGCTGTCGCATGATCTGCAATACCCACATTCCAAATAAGCAAATCCCATCACACCAGTATAAAGGACCCGAATCAAAGCTCAAGCGGAAACAACTTTTTAAGTACAAGATCATGAAACGACAAAAGATGTACAGCGCCATGCTAGACAATTCAGATCACATCACATCAAGACTGCCAAAGGGAGTACGAGTGGAAAAAAATACAGGAAAGGCAAATTACCTTCATAAAGAAGCCGGGTCCATCTCCACCATCACCACCACCAGGAAGCTTGTCAACCTCATAGATGGTAACATGTAAAGTGCCGTGTAACAGGATTTGCGCCATTTTCTTAACCTGCAAACGTCCAAAAGAAACCAAAATCAGCGAATCAAGATTCGTAAACAGGAAACGAACACCAATCCGATGAAGGAAACAGAGACGGAGAGACGGAGGAGTTGGTACACTGAGAGATCGGAGGGAGAAAGGAGTTCGGAAGCGGAAAGACAGATGGGAAAGGAAGCAACGAAGAAAAGGGATCAGCACACAGAGTATAAAGAGGGAGGTGGGGATGTGAAGTAGGGAAAGAATGACTTTTTGAGATCTGATCCATGTATTATTCAATAGTATTTTCTTCGATGCAGATTTCAGACTGAGTGCACATAATCAGGAATTGAACGTGGTGAAAAGTGGATTGCAAACTGAGGGAGGGAGGGAACATTTTTTTAGAGCGGAGAATTTCCGAGCACGAAGAACGTGGAACGGTGTCGGGTCGGGTTAAGAAGTTTCCCCCGGTCATACATTTTAAATTTGATAACTTTTTAGAAGGGTTAATTGCATGGTTGGTCACTGAGATTACAAAAAACGTTCATGTTTGGTCACTAAAAATATTTTAATCCAATCTTGGTCACTCAAATTAGTTAAATGGTTCAAATTTGGTCACTCTCCGTCCAACTCCGTTAAATATGTCTGATGTGGCAGTCAACACTCAAAGTTGACCGTTAACTCGGTGATGTGGCAATTAAAAAATAATAAATAAAATAAATTTTAATTTTCTACCATTTCCAACTCATTTTCACAATAAAATAAAAAAAATAATATTATAATCACAAATGGCTTCTGGGTTCCCCTCCTCTGCAACAACATCTCCTCCCACCCACTTCCTTCTAAAGCCCTTACCAGAATCTCAACTCACTCGTCAACTCTTCCCTCACCAAAGCCCAACAAATCAAACACCATGCAAACCGGCAATCTGCGACTTCCACCTCCTCAGCTTCCGATTTCACCGCCAAAACCGAGCTCTCCCTACACAGCTATGGCGGCTACTCCACTTCCCTCAGCTCCGGAATCGCGGGACTCGGCCGCGGCCGTTCCTCTCTCGCGAGTCAACTCGGGCTGGCTAGGTTCTCCTACTGCTTGCGCGTGGACTCCGTCTATTATTATCTTGGTCTCGCCAACTCGCCGGAATCGCGGGACTCCGTCTATTATTATCTTGGTCTCCGGCAAATCAGCGTCGGCGGGCGGCGCGTGGAGATCCCATATCGGCACCTGTCCCCCGAAATCGACGGCAGCGGCGGGACAATCGTCGATTCCAGGACCACGTTCACGTTCATGTCTCGCGGGGTGTTCGAGCCCGTGAGCAGGGAGTTGGTGGTGCAGATGGAGAGGAGCAATGGCGATTACAGCAGAGCACGCGCCGCCGAGGCCGCGGCTGGGCTGCGGCTCTGTTTCCGGGTTCACGGGAAGGGCGCGGCGGCGTTTCCGGAGCTGAGGCTCCATTTCAAGGGCGGCGCCGACATGGTGAAAATGGTGTTGATGCTCCATTTTTTATTATAATATATTTTTTTACTTTATTGTGAAAATGAGTTGGAAATGGTAGAAGATTAAAATTTATTTTATTTATTATTTTTTAATTGCCACGTCACCGAGTTAACGGTCAACTTTGAGGGTTGACTGCCACATCAGACATATTTAACGGAGTTGGACGGAGAGTGACCAAACTTGAACCATTTAACTAATGTGAGTGACCAAGATTGGATTTAAATATTTTCAGTGACCAAACATGAACGTTTTTTATAATCTCAGTGACCAACCATGTAATTAACCCCTTTTTAGAATTATAGATATCATATGTTCATTTATTAATTATTATTCATTTGTGTTAAAGATGTTCTCCTACCACTTTTTTACATCAAATATACTTTTATACATTAGAAATAATCATTGTAAAAAATATAAATAGAAATAGGTCATAATATCGTTAAAAATAAATGAAAAATACAATAAGCTTGGTGACCTGGAAAAATTAGAGTTAAAAAATTTAAAAATATAAAAAATAAAAAGAACTTCAGCCTCCCCTTTATGCTCTGTCTCATTGTTATATCTTCCTCTCTATAATTCTATGAGATACAATTCACCTCCTACCTCCTTTTACTAAAATGTCAAAAGACTTATATGTCGGCACGATAACTTTGACCTAGTAGTTATGATTTCTTTTCTTCCAATTAATTCAAAATTCTTACTTATACTTAAGTTAACATTTGGTTTTGGGTTCGACTGTACGTCAGAAAGGGCACTCGCTAGAGGGTTTTGTTACTTTGTGTGGTTAATGTGATGTTATAATCAACCGGTGGCGAAGGGAGACACAGGAGGAGGTGGCAATAGAGGTACATACAACTGTCAGCCACCGAATAACAAGGACCACACGAGCTTGCCGCCGCCAAACTAAATCATCCCTTTCTTCCATTCCTACAACTAACGCTCGTTATCGGCCCTTCCTTCTACTACTAGTTTTTTCCCCCTTAGCTATGTTTTTCTTCCTCATTCGGCCAAGAAACAGAAGAAAAAACAACCTATAAATGATAAATAACTTCGATTCCTCCTTTTACCTCACTTCCCAGCTCTCCTCTTCCTTCTTTCGGGAAGTAGACAAGGCAAATAGAACATGAAGATGAGAGATGAATCTAGGGTCTTACTTCTACGGTGACTTATCTATTTCTCAGGTGCTTCCCATTTTAGCTTCTTTTGAGTATACATGGCTCCTCTTTCTTCTTTTCGAAAGCGAAGCGAGAAATCCATGAGAGTAATTGAATGACATCCTTTCCGAAAAACTCCATCCTTTTTGAGTTTACGGGGATTTTATTACCCTAAAACATCAATTATGAGCGTGGCCGGTGGATTCTTACAACGACAGCCGCTCGCCGATTTTTTTTATCTAATTTATGGATTCTAGCAATCAATTCATATCTTGGCATTTTTCTTGGTGCTTAGTTGGATGGGCTTCAGGAACTCTTGAAGAAGAAACCTCCAATCTCTTTCTAGAACGCTCTCCCTTTGAGTTCAGCTAACTCTCCTTTATATAGTTCCCGAGTGCACATATAACGGTCGCATATCATGCCTGCGAAGTCGAGTGTGAAACCAAGATCTCAGCGCAAAACGCAGCGTTTCACTAACTAACTTCGTGGGCTGCTTGTTGACATCTCGATTTGGAGACCGTGAACATTGCAGGCTCCTGGAAGTGTGCAGACTCCACGGCTTGCTTGTCCACTTCACGGTCTATCGCCCATTATAATTGTTTCATAATCGTATTCCTTGCACTTTTGACAATTTTGCTCCCTTTCTGCCTTCTATCAGATTAAGGAGAGAATGACTCCATCGTTTATTATTCCTCCTATATTTCTCATGGCTAGCTAAGCTCTTAGTTGTTTGGGATGTTGATTCTATGATGTGTGATGTATTACTTTCTATGAGTTAATGAGATGCCCTAAGCATAGAGGGGAAGTACAGCCCTTTAAGGCTTGAATGATGATGATGCATGATGCCTAAGATCACCAATATCATAGACCATCGTAATGGTTCAAGAGACCACAGTTAATGATTTGCTATCCTTACTGCCTTATACTTGATTAATTAGTTGATTGCATGAAGCGAAAGCACGCATTAGCTAATTAAATCTCTATCACAAGAGGCACATGCATGGGTAAGGATTGAACTTAGTAGAAGGGATATGATTTCATCATAGCATCGTTGCATACAGGAATCTGATCAAGAAGAAAGTATGCATGCTACTGAAATTTTAGCTTCGTTAGACCCATGAGTTTATATCTCTGCCTCCTTCTAATCCATTGGGCCCCTTGGCGGTCCATATTCGTCTTTAGTGAAATATCTCATTGAATCACAAAATAACATTAAAAGGCATCAAATAGTAAAAAACACACTCAAAGTCTATCACAAGCTCATCATTCAAATAGTTATGAACTCCATATGTAATATAATCAAAACCACTAAAGATGAATTCCTAGAAGGGAACATAAAAAAAAAAAAAATATGAGAGTGATAAACACTATAAATAGAGTGCATATGTTTGCAAACCAACACAACTAACAAACTAGCCACTCTTGGGGACAAAATCTTGGGACAACATCAATAGAAAGACAATATTTCCCAAAGACCCTGAAAACTTTGGCCATAAGAGGAAATGCATCCAACAACACCCATTCTTCCGCCTTTCTATCATCAAGCCAACTGATTGCTTCTAGACTGGTGACTTTCTTTGTCGACAGAGTAACCACCCTATATGACTTGATTCTCGAATGTTGGCCAAGAGGTCTATTATTAGCCTCTTATGTAGGTTTTTTTGAAATATGAAGTAGGATTAAAACTCTTCCAGCTGGACCCCTCTTCGTATCTCCAACATAGCCTCCAAGTTGTAACTATATTGACTTTAAACGACAAAGATTATTACTATTGCTATAAAACAAGCTCATATTTATCTTCGTTACCCTTTTTGGAATATTAACAAAATTTTGGGCTGATCTGTGTCTCTTCATAAATGTGTCTGAAGCCATATTTTGTGCTTTTGATTGACTAAATTTTGCGCCATTTCGAGGTTGAGCTCCAATCTTCGTTTCTGACTTCCAACAGCTTGGCCTTGATGTCTCCCTCTTGTATAAGGTGGTCCACTAGGATACGTTGACCTTAAAACATATTAAATAATGCCGAAAGTGAATTAAAATAGTAAAAGTAATCTAGGAGCTATTAAACACACATTGGAGCAATTATCAAGCAATTACAAGTTATAATGACAATGAAGATATGGAAACAACTCTAAATATGCCAATAAATAGGGGGCTTAGAATAGTATTATATACTTGTCATCAAATAAGCCTACACTTGAAATTTTCTTTTTCCCCAGCAAACCAAAACCAAAATCATACAACTCACTAGACCACTATAATGACACATAACTTTTGATCGTAGATAGTGGATCGTAAGTAGCTTACAAGATATATCCTCGTACTTAGAGAACCACAATACATTTGGGAGGTACATATCGCGTAAGGAAAATTTGGCCAACCTCTATCCAACATGAGCAATTAACCCATCTCAAGAGTCTAAAAATGTATGGGGTAAACCTTTTCACAATTTTTATTTTAATTTCAAGCACATATCTACCCATGTTTGATTATGAGAGTAACTTATCAAGCAATACTAGCTATCTTGACAATGAAGTTGTGAAAGAAATACTAAACATGCCATTAAATAGGAGTTTAAAATAGTATAATTAACATGTCATCAAGTAAGCCCACACTTGAAATTTTCTTTTTCCCAAGCAAACCAAAGCCTAAATCATACAACTCACTAGACCTTTATGACTACATGTAATTTGCGATTGTAAATAGTGGATCATAAGTAGCTTACAAGGTCAACCCTCGTAGTTAGAGAACCACACTACATCAGTGAGGTACATATCTCATAAGGGAAATCTGGTTATCCTCCATCCAACATGAGCTATTAACCCATCTGAAGAGTCTAACAATGTATGGGGTGAACCTTTTTGCAAAAAAAAAAAAAAAAAAAAATTGTATAACTTTTTTTTTTACTTTCAATAACATCTCTACCCATGTTTTAATTAGGATAGTAAATTTCTGAGGAAGTGCTATAGAAGCTTAGGGCATGAGCAGCGGCCACACGAAGGTAGTACACGATGCTGGGTTTTCTTCTCCAAATCGGACCATTTTTGCAGGCTACTTCCTCTTGGGCTCATGGGTCTGCTTATGGAATTCCATCTCGTTTGGACTTCATTTTACCTATTTGCTTTCCAAAATACTATCATCTGGTATATAACTTGAGTTTCTCCTGTCAGAATCCATCTCCATTTGGGCCCATGAGCTGGTATCATTGACCTCCTTTTGGCCCATTGGGTTTCTTGTGTGGATTATCTCCTTGAAAATCATAAAACAACACCAAAAGGCATCAAATAGTACAAAAACACACTCCAGGTCTATCATAAGCTCATTAAATGGTTATAAATTCCATATGAAATATAATTAAAACAACTAAGGATGCATTGATAGAAGGGGAAAATGTATCAAATATGTGAGTGATAAACACTATAAATAGGGTGTCATTAGTTCGTAAACCAACACAACTACCAAACTAGCCAGTATGTTGTCAGAACCGAACCGGAGCATGACCCGGTAATGCAAACGGCTCGCACTTTAGTGATCCAACCGACATTAGACCGTTTAAAAACCATTAAAGAACCGGTACCTAATAAACGTTATCAGTATAAATAGTGGACATTTCTTAATGAGAGCTCATCTCTTTCCTTCGAAATTGTGAAATGGAAATAAGGATTCAGTTTAAGAGGCCAACGTTTTTGGTTTATTTCAATTTTCAGTTTTCTGTAAATTTTTTTAATTAAATATAGTGGCTGAGTGGCAAAAACCGGACGAGCGGCTCGAACGGTTAATCGCCTCGGCCGCTCTTCAACCGCTACATAAAACC